AGAGAGCGGGAAGATTGTCTGGGGTCCGAGAAGGTTTGCTGGGTAAGTGAGATAGATACTTTTCAACAACGAAAGGGTTAAAATATATTGAATATAGTTGGCTAGCTGTGCAAAATGAGAGATTTGGTAATGATCCATCATCCCGAACAAATGCTTCACTGAAATAGTTATTCAATATTTCATATTTTCCTTTGTTATCGTAGCATATCATTCCGTCCGGGCTCTTAATGGCGGCCGGCTAAGTGGTTGTTCTAAGCTTGCTTTTGACGTATTTATAAAATGATTGCACGGTACCCTTTTCAATTAGTTTGCGTTCCTTTTGTATAACGTGCGCTTTAATGGCCTTCCTGCAGAGGTCCTTTAGTCTCTTGTACTCGACACTGTTTCTGGTTAGTCTCCAACCATTTCTTTTCCTGTTGGAAAGTTTTTTAATGTGATATGGGTACTTTCTTTTAGAACATTTGCTCAATGGTACTGTACGTTCGATGACAGATATGAGAACAGATAAGAATTCATTATAGCATTTTTCTATACTAAGACAGTGGAATTTTGAAGACCAGTGCATATTTGATGAGATATAATTTATTGTGATGAAATCGCTGCGACGAAAATTCCTGAAAGATGTTATTGGATATTAATTTTGAAAAACACAGCACAGTGATCGCTGAAAGGTTCACATACTTTGACATCAGAAACAACATCGTTATGGTTACAGAAAATAAGGTCAAGGATACTGTTCCCCCGTGTGGGTGAGTTAACCAATTGTGTCAGTGAGTTTGCTTGCGCAAAGTGCAATACTTTTCTACAGTTGTTATCAGCTGCGGTGTTATCATTCCAATTTATGTAAGGTGCGTTAAAATCTCCTAGAACGATGGATGGAAATTGAGAAACATTAATGTAATCAGTTATGGAGTCAGAAAGATAATCATATGGAACATTGTTGTGATTTGGGTGATATATCAGAATGGTTCTAATCCTTGAGGATGATGATGCGCAGATAAGATCGATGATTATATGCTCATTATGGCTAGTATCATGTGGCTGAGCCATGCAAACAGCTTGAGTTCATTTACGAGAAAGTATGCAAACGCCGCCACCATCGCAACCTCTTCTGTCACAACGAAATACATTATACTGATGTGATAGAGACAGCATAGCGTCAGTAATATTTACATTACACCAAATCTCTGCTAAAAACAATAAATCATTTTAAGTAATTTTGAAATGCAAAAAATTTTAACAAATCAGTTTTGTTTCTAATCGATTGGCAATTTAATAAAGCACATTTCACATTCGAACCTACTTCTGACTGTCTTTGGATGTTCCGCGACGGGTTTCGTATGGCTGTCGATTTTGTTTGATCTCTACGAGCTTTAGATCGTCCGACAATCCAACTCATCACACCTTCTTTCGCGTTTCGCTCCAGCACTGTTTTCCATAGATTTCGATACATTTCCAGAATTGGCTCCGAATAATCCAGACGAGCCTTGCAGTTTTTCAGGTCTTCTCGAGTGTTGCGAAACTTTCTGAAATATCGCACGAGAGCTTTGGACGTTTCTAGAGAGTCTGCCTCGATTTTCAATGGTCTCGGTCGATCCGATATTTTACGGCCAATGCGAAAAACCTTCACAGAATTTCGTTTGATACTTGCAGAAATTGCTAAGTCATTTGCAATAGTTGAATCGAATTTTTCAGTAGCAGTATCAGAATTTTGCTCAGGAATATTATGAATCAGTAAGCATTTCTGGCGTAATTGGTTGATGCGATCTTCTTCAATAGCCTTCACATGAACGGCAATAGCCACTGGATCGGGAGTTGAAGATGGTACGGATGAGGCTACACTTGCATAGGAACGGGTTTTTATTGACTTGGCGCGAGTGGCCCCTTCAGCTGAATTTACGAGGTGATATTCAATTAATTTTAGATGATGTTCAATCTTTTCCAAGCGATCACCAAATGCAGTTATTTCTGCTTGAAGGGGGGAAGTGCCTTCCCCATAGCAATAGTAACAATTTGAGCGATTTCGTCAGGAGACAAGTTGGGCATGGTTGAATAGATGTATATGCAAATGAGAGAGAAGTTTGACACGACCACACCTTGACACAATATATCGGAACTATTTTCTTCAACTAGATAGCTATTTTCTTAAAGCTATCTCAACCAGCGCAGTGGCGCTTATTCATACATTGTATCACTATAGATCAACGTATATATTACTATAGCTCTACAGGGGTTACCATCTTCAAGCTGTCGGTACTCTCAGGTTTGCCCAGTAATATATCAATTTCTCTACACTGTTCGATTTCTCAGAACCTCTAGATTCGGCGAAATATATATGTTGTCGGGTGACTTTGCTTACCTGAGGAGATATAGCTATTTCTTAAAGCTGTCTCAACGAGCATAGTGCCGCTCGTTTACATGGCTCCTGTCACTGGTGATCGATCTTTACATTACTATCGACACCAGCAGAAACACCATCGATGAAACTTGATTAATTATTTATGATCAAGGTCCTCAGGCCTACACTGTAAATGATTGTTTCTCCTTACCATCGGATTCTCCAGATTCTCCAGTTTCAGATCAATACGGAGTTATCGGGCGATTTTAGTCCTTGCAAAGAATAGTAACGATTTTCCGAGGTCATCTCAAGTAGCTCAATGACTCATTCCAGTACATTAAAAGTTCAGATACGCGAAGAGTTACCAAGTTAAGGATCACCGTTTTCAGTCTAGCGGTACTCTCAAGTTGGCACGGCAACACGTCTTCTTCTCTCGAGCATCTGGTTCTGCAGATTCTCCGGTTTCAGAAAAGTATACTAGAATTGATTTAGGCCATCTCATGCCTCTTCGACCGTCCCTTCCCCCCCCCCCCCCCCCCCCCCCCCCCCCCCCCCCCCCTCTCCTCCTTCTCTCCGGTCACCACGTGAACAACGTCCTGGCAACAGACTTCAGACGTGATCATCAGTGTTGTTCTATTGTGCAATTTTTTATTTCCCTCATTAATAAGAATACCCAGAGCAAAGTCTCTCTTATCGTTCCCAGAGACCGGTTCTCTCTGTGACTCTATTTTCTCCGTGATTTTTTTTGAATCGCTTCACACACGGTGATGAAATGTGCAACATTCATCATTAACCTTGATTTCAATAATTAATTTCTTGTCGCTAACCGGACCCATCCACTATCAATCGATCTGTTGCTATCAATCGCACGATTCGCTCAGCGATTTTTTAAAATTTCGATCGCATGTTGTTTCGAATGCAATTTTCTTGAACATTTTTATATTAATTCATAGGACAAAACGCTTTTTCAAGAGATTAATTCAGTAACTACCACCATTATCCTGTGAATCGATAGGGTTACCGGATTACTTAATACGATGACTTTCTAGAACAATTCATGGTATTGATCAATTATTCTAATTTCAGAACCAATCGTTAAGAACACCATGCAGTGCACCACCACCAATATCGTAAAAATACAGCGGACATAACATCACAGTCAGCGTCTCCATAATACTGGAAATATCATCGCAAATTGCTGATTATCATCAACTCGGTTGATCTGTCTGGTAAGTATTGCTGAGCATTTGCAATTTTCAACAGAATACTCATTCACTGATCTGTTTCCACCTACAATATTCATTCATTCCCGATTACAAACTCACTGGTAATGAGTGCTGAAGACACTCGACAAAGGAATATCATTCAGTTGTTCCCTTCTTAGCTCTGCTGATTATCCCATTCATATTTTACTCACTACGGTCCTTTCCTGATTTTGGTTTAATTAGGCGTGTTGAAGAAGTCCATTTCCTCGATCCATTGAAGTTTCATGATTGCATCAATTTTGTGTTCATCACTATGTTAGTTTCAGCCGTACAGTCCATCGAATTCCACCCAACCACAACAACATCTCCAACGGTTTCTATCAACATCAGTGCCAATTACCCTAAATGGATTCGCTGAGGAAAGTTTTGCCAGCACTTCTTCACTTTGGGGGTAGGCACGCGATCACGCTCATGTATAACAACAGGTCACGCCTACTGCGCATGGCCTCATCCTAAGCATAACCTCAGCCCCATCTGAGTATAGCCTGAGATCGCTCGATGTTACAACCCAGGCTAGCAGGTGAGCTCAGGTTTAGGCTTAGGCTGAGGCCATGCGCAGTAAGCGCGGCCTCGGTCTACGTGAAAGCGTCGTTCATAGTGTGTGAGCGTATGTGTGTTGTGCGGCGGCCATGCGCAGTGGGCTGAGGCCATGCGCAGTAGGCGCGGCCTCGGTCTACGTGAAAGCGTCGTTCATAGTGTGTGAGCGTATGTGTGTTGTGCGGCGCCCCCCCCCCCCCCCCCCAAAGTAAACAAGTGTCATTTTGGCTACGTTATCAACTGCATTGAATTGAAATTGTCATACAGTAAGTATTTATTTCAATTTCATTTCCACACGGTTAACGTACTCATATAGTTCAACCGTTTGCGCCTGGCATTCGTCCATAGCGACTTATATCACGCGAATTCAAACAAACGGTCAAACGAACTCAAGCAGCTGGCAACAAGATAAGCCGAACACCAATCATACAACTGTCAGCATGTCTCTGGCTATATTGCAAGGTTCAGTTCAGTCTTCATAATTATTCACATTTGCAAATCAACCCAATCCTTGCAGCATTGCATAAAGCAGATTCTCGACTGGATAGAAGTGAACTTCTTAAGGGCATTAAGTTCACTTTTTTGCATATCTACATCTAAACAAAATTTTTTACAATCAGCATTTACAAATATGTGATTTCGTTGTTGTGATAAGCGTATAGCTCATAAAGAGTGAGCAAATTTTGAAGATATACATGCGTGGTAACGTTAAGAATTTTTTTGAGGTGATTNAGTGTTATAACAACGATAATAATTCTCAGTAATACTGGTAGCAGTAACAGCAATAATAACAATGATAATAAGAATAACAGTAATGCCGGAACTGTCAGGAATATGATAAGAATCGAGCAAGACATTTCTTTGGGTGTTTGATTTCAGTATGGAAGAAGATGAAACTCTGCGAATTATGATAAGAGATCAATTCAGAGTGGGATAGAAATCAAAATGTTGATAAATATTATATTGACGTAATGCAACGATGATTAATGATAATGGTTGTTGTAATAATAGCGACAATAATGATGGCTATTCATTCTCTTCGGTGGAACTCTCATCAATCCCATCGCTTTTTTGAGATTGTTTGTAACTGTTGGGTAATGAATTCACTTAGAGAAATAATAAAGTCATTAATTATTGGTGTGTGCCATTGGAGTGTTGCGAGTTTTATCTCGGGATCCAGTTGTGGTGAGTTCGGAACGGTTTGAATGAATAAATGAATGCGTGACATGTGAAAGAGTTTAATTAGTCTACTATTTACAGACATGTGGACATCAATAGTAAACTTTATTCACGATACGCAACCGTCAACCGGTCGAGGCTTGGTTATCACAATTGGATGGTCATTTGTTGTGTTGTATTTGATCCTAAAATCTGTTGTCGAGAAGGTTAGCGAGGGTGGTTTTCGTTCATTAACGAGTTTTCTCGGCGGTCTTCTCTGATATAGAATTATTGTGATCTCATGATTTGATCAGTGCTCCATTGTTTGTTTTTGTTGGAGCACACTTTTTGAATGATAATTTGCATAAGTCTTGATCACACTGATAATGCGAATTATTCTTCACGAAGTTCGTATTAATCTGGATATATGAAATGATCAAGAATGTATCTCTATCCATTTATATTCATACAAAAAAATCTTGTACTTCTACCAGATTGATGTGTCGGTATTAGAATTAATTTGAGCGGTTCACATCGAGTTTAATTTCAGGCTTGGGGTGCAGCGGGAATCAATCGTAGGAATATGATCAAAAACGATCAGTTGCGAAAGAAGCGTTTCGAAGCGATACGTGAACGCATCGACCGAAGTGAAGCAGCCTTGGAACGTTATGCGGAGATTCTCAAATTGAATTTCTTCGAACTGAAAGGTTTCTTCACACTTATACGAACTTATTTTTATTCAGTTCCTTCGGAAAATTGAAGTATTCTTTGATTAGTTCATTACTTCAATAAGTTGTCAACAGCACTGAGAATAAATCGGAGCAATATGAGGGAGTCAGTCAAAATGAAGATGGAAACGGGAACATTTCACTGCGAAACAAATCAATCTGAATCACGAAGTCCATGAGGAAGTATTTTAAAATGATCTTATAGAAGCACTACAAAATGATCGGCTGAGTGCAACGGCCGTGCTGAATGCATACTTATGGAAGGCATTTGAAGTGAATGAAAAAACAAATTGTATCATTGAATTCTTGATTGAATCTTTCGATGAGGCGGAAAATTTGGATCAGAAATGGCATTTGAAACCGAATAAACCACCACTGTTTGGTCTTCCGTTCAGTGTGAAGGGCAATTTTTATGTTAGTGGTATTGTTTGTTCATTGTCTTTCTTGAAAGTTGCTGATAGTATTTTCAGTTGAAAAATGCCGAATTCTGGTTGGAGAAATTAAAGAAATTTAATTAGAGGGATTCCATCAAATTGATCGTGAGGGTACATGAAATTGCTGCATTTCTGTTTGAGTCTATATTAGTGATGGGATCCGACCGACAGTCGGTCGGAAAAATCCGACAATTTTAGTCGGAATTCCGACCGAGCAGTTCGAAAAGTCGGTCGGAATTCCGACTGTGGGAATGGCACCAACTCGGTCGGATCCCGAGCGACCGAAATTTCGCTCGGAGCTCATCACTAGTCTTTATGAAATGAATTTATGAAAAGTATAGTGTATTCTTGTTAGAAATGATGTGATCATTGCAGATGAAAGGTTATGACTGTTGTATTGGATTAGCGAAGAATCTCTTCAAACCCATGCAAACAGAATGTACCTTGGTGACTCATCTTCGAAATCAAGGAGCTGTACCGTTTGTGATGACAAATGTACCGCAGGCACTTCTCAGTTTTACGTGTTCAAATTCTGTTTATGGTACTACAAGCCATCCAAAAGATGCCAACAGGTTCATCTCGTATCCATTTCATTCTTATTTTATTCATTTCTGCAAGACCCTCCAACTGGATGATCATATCCACCACGTTTCGGTACGTGTTCCTCAACATTGTTATTTTATTCATTTTTATTTATTTCATTCAAAGTTGGAGTTTTCATTTTTGTTCGCGAAGGATCTTTATCGAGCGGAAGAATTTTTTGAGTGATCAGTGATTATTTTATCTTTATGATTTATGACTCAGGACACCCGGTGGCTCCTCAGGAGGTGAGGCGGCATTGTTGTCAAGTGGTGGATGCGTATTTGGTACCGGGAGTGATCTTGCCGGTAGCTTGAGAATACCTGCTGTCATGTGTGGACTTGTCACTCTCAAGCCTAGTGAAAGTTGGTTTTGGACTGTTTTACACAATNATATTAATGATACAGTTATATTAATGACAAAATAATGGTGGTACTTTGATAACAAATAATAACTGAATTCTATCGATAAGAAAGAGAGGTTTATGCTACTGTTAGTTCATAAGTTTTAACGTTTCTGACAATTGATTGTTTCAGGTCGTTTCGTTGTGTACAATGCCCAAGGTAGTCTACCTGGTAAGGGTCGAATCGGGTTAGGTTTTGGTTTCCTAACGAAATCAGTTGAAGAGTTGAAGTTTTTGACGAGTGATGTGCTCGGCACACCGGAATATCATAAATTAGTGTCTAAAAGTGCTCCACTGCCATTGTCAAGCACTCGTATCGAGCAGTGTTCTAAGCGGAAACTTCGCATCGGTTACTATGTGGATGATGGATTCATGAAGCCTGTACCAGCGTATGTTACTTGAATATTGTGAATATAATTTGCTGTTATTTGAAACTTGGAATTCTTTACTGTTTGATGAATATGTATATGATTTATTGTCTGAAGGATCGTTTTTTCTAGGCAAGGGCAAAAAATCATAGAGGTAATCAGATAGAATGCTGAAAAAATAATCATCATCGAGCATTAAAATCATCAATGAATTGTTGATGAATCATAAACTACCAATGATTAATTATCAAAATAATCAATCAAATCAAACCATTAATCAATAAAATCAGGATCAAATCATCAAAAATCATCAAATCAAAATCATCATCAGACATCAAAAAAATCATCATCAGACATCAAAAAAATCATCATCAAAATCAAAAACCACCTCGATCATCATCGAGGCAAAAAAATTTTTAGCGCTCTTCAGAAACTTCGTAAATTTCCAGCCTTGAACGAACTACTCAAGAAACAGTGGAATATTTGCGAGAGGCTGGTCATGAAATGGTCCGTTTTCATATACCTCAACCACATTTAGCAGCATCCTTATTCTACAAAAATCTCTTGCCAGATGGAGGTGAACTGTTGAGAAGAATGTACAGTGGTGAGGTGATCACACCCTACATGAAAAGATTCGTCTTTATGTTGAAGGTATGCATTTGAAGTTGTTTTAGTCATAACTTTGTTGTTGTGTTTCTGTGGGAATGGTTTTAATGCATTTATAATGCACTTATACCAACAAGGCATTGGGAAGAAGTTCCTTTATGCGGAGATTTTTTTTTTGAGGAGCTTGGAACCCTTATTTATAGTGTTGTGAAGAGAAGGTGGATTGAGTGATATGCAGTGAATTCGCGGTGAATAAAGGTTTGAAGCGGAATTGTATTCATGTCAGTAAAAGATTGCGCTCGTTCCACCAATGGCAAACAATCTGTGTTGCTGTGCAGAATGCAATGATATTTGTAGATTCCGAAAGTGATACGGACCGTTGCCAGTTGGTTACTTTCATCGATAAGTCCACAATTATCGCTGATAGCTGGCTCAACGGTTTCTGATCTCGGTGATCTACGTTACACTCAACAACTAACTGACCAGTATATTAAAGATGTACGTTATTCATTGGTTATTTATTATCGTTATCATTACTGTAGTTGTTTTCATTGTTATAGTCGCTTCAATGATATCATTGTTACCACCACTTTTCTTATTGTTCACAATCTTTTCATGTAACCTCTACGCAAAACTTTTGTTCTTTTATTGAGTTCAGTGAATGTTGAAAAAAGGAATCTGCTTTGAAACACGAAAACATGAATCTGCATTACAGTTTATCAATGAATGGAAATTATTCGAACTTGATGTGCTCATATGTCCAGCATTCACAGGTGAAGGAATTATTCGACTTGATTTATTACATTATTCAATGAGTTATCACTAAGGATACTGATTCGAGAGTATTTGAGGTAAGATTTGTTCGTATATCACGATTTATATTGTAGTGCCGTCAGTTCCACATCAATATCCAAGTCAGTTGTCAATGTGTGGTTTCGCGACCGGTCTCTACAGTATGCTCGATTTTCCAGTTGGTATTGTACCAACCCGTGAGGTTACGAAAGAGGATGATGCGTTGCTGGAGGATGAAAACTACTGGCCTGTTGGTATGTGTATGAAATGCTTATTGCCATCTGATCTTACTCTATGCATTTTATTTTCGAATTATACATGAGATCGATCGGGCCACAACCCGATGTGTTCTTACAAGTAAAGGAGCACAGCTTGCTGTGTCATCATGTCAAGACCTCAGCTGGCTGAGTCTATCAAATATCACTAGTCATGGTGAATGAAAGCGATATTTTGTTTTCACAATTCACTGAC